GACCACCCCGGGGCGCCCCCCGCGCCTTGTGTCCGCGCTCGGCTGCCGTAGCGCGAGCCACACGTGGCGCGGGAGCCCAGAGGAGGCGCTACAATGTAGCTGGCGGATCCGGCGCTCGGTTACAATGTAACTGCCTGGAGGGGCTCGCGCGTGCTCCGGGGGCGCACCCGGCGGGGAACATGGAGCCAGCGGGCAGCTCCGGTAAGGGCAGAAGGTTACAGGGAAGCCGGGGGCAGAGAAGGGCCGGGAAGCGCTCCTTCGCTCGGCAGGCAGAAGGCTCCGGCACGGAGCCTCCTCCCTGCCCGGATGGGGGCGCATTCTCACGAGCTAGCCTGCCCCCGCCTCGGAACCCCCCTGCGGTGTGGCCCCGGCCGCTGGGCGAGCCGCTGGTTCCCCGAGCGAGGTGGATTCGATTCGCCGGGTCGTCCTGATCGCGGAGAAGCTGGCAATGCTTTGCTTAAGCTGGCGCCTTCCTAAGAACGTTGGACTACAGCTCCCATCGTCCCCTGCCACATAAAGAAGCGTCTTGCATTCCTGGGAGAAAAAAAACATTTAAGGTGGGAGGGTGGTGAAGTCGTATGAAAGTGACTCGGTTATCCACTGCATTTCCCCCCACCACCACCACATGAATGTTGCCTTTTAAGTGTTTAGGAAAGAGGAGAAAAAGGCTTGTAATTATTGCAAGGTGGAGAATTGCCTAGAGCTCTGTGCAAGTCAAAAAGGATATAGGCATTTTAAATAAATAAAGGAGGTAGGAACATAGTTATCCATCTATATTCTGCATTACAGGTGCACTCCTATACACGTCCACCTAAACTGCAACTCTTCTGCTCAGAAAGTTTTTCCCAAATTGATGTGGCAGTTCAAACCAACACAACTGGCTAATCTCCCTTCAGCCCCTGAAGGGACCTGGACTGATTTTCTGAACTGCAGTGAGGCTCTGAATCAAAATGGGCTTCATTCCCACCCGCGTAAGAAACACAGTAAAAGGGCCTGCCTTGCTGTCTGGGAAAGTCAGGCCGTTCTGATCAGAAACAGTTGTTGGGGGACAATAATGGGAGCCTGTCCCCAGATGTTCCTTCTGAGTTTCCTGTCCCTTTCTTGGAGGGACCAGATCACTGTTTTCGCTAAGAGGGAAGATCCATCCTGTTTGCAGGGCTGGCCACGGTTTCTTCCACCCAAGGCAGGGAAGGGAATTCCTCAGGCAGCCAAATAGTTGAGTTCGGTTGTGCATGCACACACGCATGCGCCCATACACACACACACAGTTGGTAAGCTGCCAAGTGCATAATTACTACCTTTCTGCTGTAGAGAATATGTGTATAGCTCAAGGTTGAGATGTTGTGTCCAAGTGCTGACGATGTGACTTAGTTTGGTAATGAAACATCTGGGGAAAAAAACCTAAGCTCTGTGAACACCAAGATCCCAATATTACTTCACACACACACACCCAGTAGTTGTCAGAACTGCCTTTTTAAAGATAGCCAGTCTGGAATAGCTGCTAAAGTCATTAAAACAAACAAATATTTTATTGCTTAGCTTAGCCTCAGAGCTAGATCCGAAAGGATTGGGAAAATGTTAGTATAATGTTGGCTTTTCTTCTCTTTTGCCTGGCATGAGGAGTTTCCAAGTGGGACATCCGAAACAAAATCTGGGATTACATGGAAGCAAATAACCTGGCTGATTTTCCAAGACCGGTCCACCATCGGATCCCCAACTTCAAGGTATTTATCTCCCCACTGCCCCCACATCCACAAGAAGATTTAAGGATTCCCATGAAATGATGCTTTTAAAGGTGCAAAATTAAATTCCAGCATGCTCCTGCGATTATTATAAGCAAGAAATACAGGGTGCTTCCAGTTAGAGGACTCAAACAGTAGTGGTCAAAAGGCTCTCATTAAACTCCCAAAAGTGTAGTTTTTAATCTGACAGAAGAGAGAAAATACTAAATGTATGGGACTAGTCATTGTAAGTATTGATTTTCATATTAATAATTAATTTAAGCAATTCATCATCCCATTTAAAGGGGCATTTGAGTAAGCTATACTTGATTTTTGTCCTTCCTTCCTTCCTTCCTTCCTTCCTTCCTTCCTTCCTTCCTTCCTTCCTTC